TATTGATATTATTATTGATGTTTACTTTAGTATGAGTTTCTGCGGAGTACAGTGTTTATAATACTCACGCTCCCACTATTATGATTCTTTTTCAGGAGACAGGGTCGGTCCGGAGGAGTGAGTGGAGCGGGTGGTCGCCGGTCCGGTACATGTAAGTATGTTTATATTTTTGCAGACTGTTGATATGTATATATTTGCTACGTTTTACTTCCGCTGACGTTTTCAGACTTTCAAACTAGCGTGTAAATTTTCAGACGACGATCCAAGCTTTCGGGTCTAGTTTTATACAGTATCACACGCTTGTTTTATAATGATAATCCGTTTTTCATAAATGGGTTTATAGTTGACGGATTTCAAGAAAAGAAATATTTTATGTAGCATCCCAATATATGTTTCGCAAATAATACATAAATTTTAGAAAAGAATTTGCGAAAATCGCACTCTGATTTTAGTAAGCTAGTGGGGTGTTACATAAACACCTTAACTCAACCACAATTAAAATCTAAAATTTGAAAAAAATAAAATAAAATAAAATAAAATAAATACTAAATAAACAACATTATAATATCTAGGACAAGTTTCTCATATCAAAATCATAGAGTAATTGATTGGTGCATGGCATATTTTTCCCATCATATCTCTTCAAGATTTCCTCAGAGTCTTCACAATTTTTCAACCATAGAACCCCTTTGCAACTGCCCTTCTCAATATCCTGCTTAATTACCTCCAATCCCAAAAGCTGAAAAAAAAACAAAAAAAAAAAAATAAAAAAAATCATAAATAATTTAATCAGGGTAACAATTAAATTAGTAAAATTTTAATTAATCAAAACTTAATTGTTAATTAATTACCTGTCTCCTAATTCTATAAAAGCACTTGTAGTACAAATAGGTCTCATTCATCCATGGCATCAAGTTATCAACCCCAACACAGCAAATCCCATTCCCAACCTTATCTGCAAAAAAAAGAATTAAAAAAAAAAATAATAAAAAAATTGCAAAACCAATTAATTACATATTACTAATTACACTACTTAACTATTTAAAAAAATTTACATACACTTTTTCATACAAAATTTTCCATCAATTTTAATTACCTGAGGATTTGATCGAGTACGGCGCTAGCCTAAAAATCTGGACCTTATACCCGGTGTTGATTTTCTCCCACACTTTGGCCTCATACCGACTTACCTCGCCGGAGGACTCGTCGGCCGCCGCCAAGGTTATGTAGTAAAGTGCCCCGGCGGCAGGCTCCACGTTGAGATTCAATATTTTTAGAAAGTCGAGACGACGATTTCCATTTTCGCAATTATTGTGCTCCTCCACCGCGTACCTGGCGGCGGCCTCTGCCTTCCGGCGAATACGATCTTCTCCGGAAAAATCTCCGACCGGCCGTATCCCGCCTAGCAAAACCGAGCCGTCTCGACTCGGGGTTACGTAGAAACCCTCGCTGTTGTTGAGGTCATCCATGTATTCCGAGTAATTGAAAACAAGGTTGTCTTCCATTTTTGGTGTAAATTGAAATTGATAATTGCTATCTTTGTATATGCTTGTGTAGTTGTGTGTGTGTTTTTATATGTGGGTTATTGTTTTCTTGGTGAGGAAGAAATATATTTGAGTGTTAATTGTGTTTTTATGGCGTTTGTGTATTTAATTTATAGATAGGCTTTGTGTAGGTTACCATGCAAAAAGAGGCAATGTAGATTATACCTAAACAGAATAGGTAAAGGTATATTACTATATTATTTTCTAGAAACCTACGATTATATTTAAATATAATTAGGCAATAGTCTAGAATTGTAGTGTATTTTCTTAAAATTTTAAATAGATTTGGAGATATTTAAAAAAAAAAAATCATTAGTACTCGAATTTATTGGACTTTCCAAGAGATAAAAATTTCAACAGATTAAAAGAATGTATGTACTACTCGAATTTCTTGGACTTTACAAAAGATCAAAATTTCAACAAATTAAAAGAATGGGGAGATCTACGGTCCCGTTACAAAACTATTCCGTTGAGGTTTGTAACCGTTAGATCAACTATATCTGACGGTTACAAAACTCGACGGGATGATTCCGTAACGGGACCGTAACATTTCTCAAAATAATGATGAAGGCTAGCTTAATTGCTACAACAATTACATAATCACCCATATGGAGCTCCAAAACTGATAATACACGCACGAAAGAAAGAAAATCTCACACAGTTGAAATCTCAAGAGTTTCAACACACACAACACTAGTCATGAATGCAATAGGGGAAAAGGGAACAACACAGTATGATATTGCAAGTAACACCAGTTTGTATGCAGCTATGAACAAGCATTGCCCGATTTAACAATCGCCATGCTTGTAATATTTTCATTTGCAAACTTTTTTTTAGAACACAACTAGAGAGAAAAAAAAA